GTCAATAGCCCTGCAGTTAGTCACCTCGACGAGGCTCGGACTTGCATGGAGAAGGAGGAGGTGTAGAGCCTTGATTTTGACCACTGCTGTACAAAACACATTCCTTGATTTTGAAAAAAACTTTATTGTCTCCCTCATCACGCTAGTCTTTGACACCCTGGTTCCAATGAAAGCAACTTTCTCAACAGGCAACTTTGTCCATCTGAATGGCACTAGTGGGACTATGACACTTAAATATGGCCTACATCTTCTTGTATCTCACTCGAATGAAGAATGCCAGAAGTGGGACAGGTAACTGATCGGCATTGGCGATACATCCTGCGCGACCATACACAGAACCTCTACTTTCTCCTGAAGTGCACTCTACCCCTTCATCGTAGACTGGCCGAAAGGGAATTGGCTGATTAGATGCCAGTCGATCTGCCTGTACGCAGTTATCCACCTGAAGTGAATTCACTCTTTGGTCGACTCGATTGGCAGTACTGAGTTTGTCATCAGTCAATTGGTCATTGCCATTGTCACCAATGCCATCATATACGATTGCCCTGTTAGGAGAAGTGGTAAGGCGAATCGCGTTGACACAAGTGCGTCGGATGTAAATACCACCATTCGTCGACTCGAAGGATACTGCGCAGTTTGTTGATAAGTTTCAAGGTGTCCTGTGGAGTCACTACTGTTCCTTCTGTCAGTGATGAGACGGCTACTGGCCATGTCTTCGTCTTCAGTTCAGTGCCTGCCATGGACAGATTACAGTGCAGTGGTTGCCAAGTGCCTTGGAGCAGACAGTGCCGTCCGGTAGGAAGGGTGACGTGGTTGTAGCAGTTCTGAAAGGGGGCATTTCAAATTCCTGTTCTGGAGAGGGCGAGAACAGGGTGTACATCCAATCGGGCACAATTTTGCTCATAATCTGAGTAGGAGGCGTACGTTTGACCACCGAGTCAGGAAGTAGAATCCGTTGTGTACTGTCAACTGTCCTGCAGCTTCTCTTTTCGTGAGACCGCACATTTGCTCTCTGTGGACTCTGTAGGGCTGCGAGTGAGCAGAAAGAGGCCAAGCGCAGCACAAATTCACACGCGTGTCCCACTTGGCGCGAATCAAGTCACACTCTGCTATAATTTGCAATGAAATTGGCTGTTTCCAGCTAGTCATAAAAGACATTACCATCACCTCGCACGAGGCAAAGCACCCCAATAGCAGACCTATGAACCTAGAAAGAAGACAGGGTGATATCTGACCAGCATGGAAGGTAGACGTGGACCTGAGGCGATGACCGTTTAAATCTGTACTGGATAAAGAACACAGCATCTTATTTCACATCCCCTCGTCTTATGAAGGCTATATCTTGTTAAAATAATTGAATGAAACAAATACGGTCATTATTACCGTTCTAGTTGGCGCCATCACGGTGATTTCAAGTAACAGCAGGAGTCAGTAAAAATGTCTTCTTCAATAAAAAAGATATTTTACGCATGCGTTTTCCAAGCACACGCACGGTAACTGAAATCTAGTCGCGCACGCGCTGTAGCTATTGAAGTGTAAACTCTTCCCGATGCCTTACCTCCTCATTACACTAGTTTGAACTCAACCGACTAAACGCTGTTTCTCGAGACAAGCACCAAAA